TTGTGTTAGTCTGGGTAGACTAGAGAAACAAATCCATGGACACACACATGTGTATAAGAAAGAGGTTTATATACAAGAGCAATTGAACATTGAGAAAACATCCTAGCCCAGACCAGATCAAGTCCATAAGTCCGACACCAATCTATAAAGTCCTCTTCAGACTCATGAAACACAGGCAATGACGCCAAATGTAGAAGATCGCAGGCCAGTGGGTAGAACATGTTTGGATCCAGTGTCATTGGAAACATCTCAGGGCTGTCAGGGTCTCTACATCAGGGTGGGTCCATGTATCCTGTCAGCTGCTATGTCTCCCAGGGTGTGGCTGAGAGTCTCCCACATCCAAGGAGGAAGTACCGGATTTCCCAGAATTCTCAGAAGGCCATGCCCACAGAAGTCTCATTGGCTATCTCCAGATTGACAGCCTAGACTCCTCCCCTACACACTTAATCTTTAAATTGACACCAGATTAGGTGACTACCACATAGGTTGACTGATTGATTAGGGGTGGAGAGCCTTTCAAGCCATGTTCCAGAGGCTGGGTGGTCCAGGCTTGCCTGGTTGCCATCACACATGTCATCCTTCTGCCCCAGAGGCACCCTGCTCCCCACGTCACTGGCATGTTAGAACCCGTGTCAGGCCATCGCGTCCCTCCATGGCACAGTGGGGGTGGGGGGTGGGGTCTCCTAGTTTTCAGGGGTCCTCTGTAATCGCGTGATCCTTTCTGGCGATTCTGGGTCTCTCCGTGGTGGAGTCTTTTGTAGGACACGTGTGCGAGGTGGGGAGACCCAAGGGTGCAGGGACTTCGCAGAGCACGCGCAGACCGCTGAGACAGTGCTGGACCCCATGGAGACCTGTCCCGAGTGGCCCAGGAAACGCAGAGGCCCCAGGGCATGCAGTGAGGGAGGCCAGCAGCGAAAATTGCTGCTCCCAGGCTGCCCTTGCCCCTCACCTGCCCCTCACCTGTCCCTGCCCCTCACCTGCCCCTGGCACGACACCTGGTCTCCACACCTCTTGCTTGCAGCTTCAGATTCATTCTAAGGAGAACACCAGAAGGCGAGAGAGATCAAATGGTCTTTGATGCAAAACTAGGGGCCCGGGAAATCCAGAAAGAGGGCACAAGCTGCGGGGCAGGGGATGACTGTGACCACGGGGCTGTTGCGAGCTGCCAGGGCTGTTCCCTGTGGGCAGCAGAGTGGGACCGAGCCCATGTATATATATATATATATATAGAAGGAAGAGCTTACGCAGTGGGGAGACCAGCACGGCCCAATCTGGGGCTCAGACATCAGGTAGTAGCAACTTGACGGGTTGGAGGCAGGACTGAGATCTAGGTCAGGGGTCCTCACACTCTTTAAACAGGGGGCCAGTTCACTGTCCCTCAGACCCGTTGGAGGGCCGGACTATAGTTT